TGTTCATGATTTTTATCCAATTTGTATTTTTCTTCTTCCTCCTCTTAAAGGATACCTTTCAGCATTTCGTATAATACTGGTTTAGTGGTGATGAACTGATGAACTCTTTCCTTATCTGTGAAGCTCTTTATCTGACCTTCAATTCTGAATGATAGCTTTGCTGGATAAAGTAATCTTGGTTGTAGGTTCTTGGCATTCATCACTTTGAATATTTCTTGCCACTCCCTTCTGGCCTGCAAAGTTTCTGTTGAGAAATCAGCTGACAGTCGTATGGGTACTCCCTTGTAGGTAACTGACTGTCTTTCTCTTGCTGCTTTTAAGATTCTCTCTTTGTCTTTTGCTCTTGGCATTTTAATTATGATGTGTCTTGGTGTGGTCCTCTTTGGATTCCTTTTGTTTGGGGTTCTCTGCACTTCCTGGACCTGTAAGTCTATTTCTTTCACCAGGTAGGGGAAGTTTTCTGTCATTATTTCTTCAAATAGGTTTTCAATATCTTGCTCTCTCTCTTCTTCTGGCACCCCTATAATTCGGATGTTGGTACGCTTGAAGCTGTCCCAGAGGCTCCTTACACTATCTTCGTATTTTCGGATTCTTTTTTCATTTTGCTTTTCCGGTTGGGTGTTTTTTGCTTCTTCGCATTTCAAATCTTTGACTTGATTCTTGCGCTCCTCTGGTCTGCTATTGGGTGTAATATTCTTTATTTCAGAGCGTGTATGCTTAATTTCTAGTTTCTTTATCATAGCATCGAGGGTCTCATTAGTTTTCGTGAAGCTCTCCAAAAGTTTATTGCAAGCCCTCAAAATTGCGTTTTTTAGCTCTATATCCTCCATTTCTGTCATGTTTTTTTGTCTCCGCATTTTTTATGCTTTCTTGGTGCACCCCCTAGTGGTCTTTGTGCGCAGTCTTGTTCTAGTTGAGCCTTGATTGTTGTAGTTAATACTAGAGGGATTTGACCACCAGGCCGACTGGCTGTGTGAATCAGCTGTGTCTGCCGCGGAAAACTTCTGTCCTCTGGGGAGGTGCTAATCTAGCCTTTGCCTGAGGCGATCTGGCAAATGGCTCTGCGCAGGGCTTGGGCGGGGCGGGCTCAACAGGGCGGGCGGAGGGAGCGGTTATGGCCCCTCTCAGTCCCGTTCCCAGAGGCTCTGCTTCTCAGAACCCCAGGAACCGCTGCAAACCTCGGAGGGAAAGCTGCCTTCCAACTGATGCCAGACACTCCCGCTTCTCCCGTTTGAGTCCCCAGCGATTCGCCCGTATCTGGAGCTCAGAGTCTGAGACTCCCCCCTGACCGAAAACGACAACCGCGCTCTCAGCCACCAGCCCGCTTTGCGCGCGCACCTCCGCACCTGAGTATTTTCCACACTGCGCCTCCTCTGAGCCTCGGTGTGCTGTTATTTTTCCTTCTAGTTGAAGAGTCTCTCCTCAGCCAGCCTTCCTGTGGTTCTGGGTGATGTCCGTTCCGTCTTTTAGTTGTATTTTTGAAGTGGTTGTTTGCGGCAGCAGTCTCCGGTGTTTACCTATGCCGCCATCTTGGTCTCTCTCATCGATGTTTCTAACTATCCCTCTCCCTTCCTCTCTGTAAAAAATCAATAAAATATATCATAAATAAATAAATAAAACAGAAAGAGAAGAAACCCCACATAGAACAGTCTGTCAGCCACCTGTGAGGTTATATCAAGTGTTTTAACATACCTGTACTTGGAATCCTAGAAGTTGGGGTAGAGAAGATATATACATAAGAAATAATGTCAAAATTTTCTTAATTGATGAGAACTATAAATACATATCCAAGAAATTCAGCAAGCAGGATAACAAAGCCTCACTGAGTACATCATAAAGTGTTGAAAACCAGAAAGAATTGTAAGAGCAGCTGGAGAAGTGAAAAACATTCTATACAGAGAATGACTGCATTTTTTTTTCTCTCAAACTGCAAGTTAGAGACCTTGGCATGATACCTTTCAAATGCTGAAAGAAAACCTGTTGACCTACAATTCTATATTCGGCAAAAATATCCTTCAGGAAAAGTGTGAGAAAAGAATTTTTCAGACAGGGAAAAGATGAATTTGTTGCCAGTAGACCTGTTTTATAAGAAATGTTAAGGACCAGTGGGCAGAACTGTTTCGAAAAAAACCCATACATATTGGGCAATTGGTTATTTTAAGGGATTGGCTCACAAGATGGAGGCTGGTATGTCCAAAATCTGCAGAAGAGCCAGCAGGTTGGAGACCCAGGGAAGACTTGACGTGCAGTTCAAGTCTGAAGCACGTCTAGAGAATTCCTTCTGGGGAAATTAGTCTTTTTCTATTAAGACCATCAACTGATTAATGAGGCCCACCCACAAGATGGAGGGTAATCTGCTTTACTCAGAGTTGGCTGACTCAAATGTTAATCTGCTGAAAAGTATCTTCACAGAAACAGCTGACGTTAACATTAACGTTTGACCAAATATCTCAGTACTGTGACCTAGTCAAGTTGACAGATAAAATTAACTGCCATATCTATGATACATGACTATATACTCTCCCCTTAGATTCAACAAAGGTTAATGTTCTGCCATATTGTTTCATCTCTACATACACACACAGATTAATCTGGTACTAGATTCTAGAGCAGTGGTTCTCAACCTTCTGGTCCTTTAAATACAGTTCCTCATGTTGTGACCCAACCATAAAATTATTTTCATTGCTACTTCATAGCTATAATGTTGCTACTGTTATGAATCGTAATGTAAATATCTGATATGCAGGACGGTCTTAGGCGACCCCTGTGAAAGGGTTGTTCGACTGCCAAAGGGGTCGCGACCCACAGGTTGAGAACCGCTGTTCTAGAGTGTGTTGGGGAGGAGTTCCCCCAAAATGTCAAGCAATTCTGGGACAACACCTGAGTGCCCTACAATTCAACTCAATTCTGGCACTATCGGAGATGGCATCAGACTCACTGGTTAAGGGTTCAGTCCTACAAGATTCTCCCCTCCCTTCAGATGCCAATCACAAGTCCAACCTATCACCTGGCCTTCTGACAACTGGCTATAGACTGGAGGTTGCAATGACCCCTTCCTGGGGTTTCATTAATTTGCTAGAGCAGCTCATAGAACTCAGAGGAACATTTTACTTCTAGATTACCCATTTATATAAAAGGATATAACTCAGGAACAGCCAGATGAAATGGATGCATCAGGCAAAGTATGTGGGAAGGGGTGTGAGGCTTCCATGCCCTCTCTGAGCAGGCCACACCCCACATCTGCAAGTGTTCACCCTGGGAGCTCTCTGAACCTCATCCTTCTGGGGTTTTATGGGGGAGTCATTACATAGGTGAGTGATTTCATCATTGGCTGTTGGCTGTTGATTTAACCACCAGCTCCACTCTCCCCTTGAGAGGTCAGGGAGGTGGGACTGAAAGTCCCAACCCTCTAATCACATGGTTAGTTCTGGGAGCTAGCTGCCCATCCTTAGGTGCTTTTCAAAATTCACCTCATGACTATAAGCTGAGGTCTGCTTGAAAGGGGTTTGTTATGAATAGCAAGACACCTTTATTGCTCTTATCACTTAAGACGTTCCAAGGGTTTTAGGAGTTCTGTGCTGGAAACTGGGATAAGGAGCAAATATATAAAGTCACATATGCACCCAGTTTTTAAGCCATTTGAAAATAAGTTTCAAATGTATGTGGCTGTTTTAAGCAACTAAATTTGTAGTAATTTCTTACATCGGCAACAGGAAATTAATATACAACATGATCCTTACATAATAGTTGGAAAAAATGATGATCCTCTAATTCTATATCTTCTACTGGCATTCTTCTATAAAACAGTGATATTTAAAAATATTACTGCAACTGCATGGCTTTTAATCATGCAATGTGGTATTAATAATATTCTTTTTGATGCTTAAATAGCCCCCTTTTTGGCAGTGGGAGCCCTTTGACAGGTTAAAGATGAACAAGACCTCATTGTTAGTCTTTGAGTTTTTTGTACTTTCTGGCATAACAATATTTTCTAGGATCTTTTGTCCATTTTCTGCCTCAGCTGAAAACTCAGTGTTTTCTCCAAGAAGTCATGATTTTTTTACTCAGGGCAATGGCTCTACACTGAATGTTTGTGTCCACCTTCTCCCCCCCCCCAACCCCACCCCCCAAATTCATTTGTTGAAATCCTACCCTGCAATGTGATGGGAGTGGGGCTGTTGGGAGGGATTAAGTGATGAGGGTGGAGCCCTCGTGAGTGGGATTAGTGCCCTATTAAAAAACAAACAAAACAGCTTCCTCACTGCTTCTACCAAGTGACGACCTGGTGAGAAGATGGCTAACAAGACC